TGCCGTCACCCATGTCCGTCCGTCCACAATTACTCGTAAACACTCTACAAGATTACAATTCTTGACTGAAACTTGGTATGGCTGTTTGTAATCACTTAAGGATGTACCCTATTGAAAATCAGAAAAATCGAAAAATGTTTAGTATGATTTATTGCCCATGTTCTGGACAATAATCTTGTCTTGATCCAGGCGAAAAGACCTGTATTCTATAGCATCCAGTATTCGTCTATATATTATCATCATACAGAATCCAGTCCTATAAATAAAGTCATAGTGAACTTAGTCACAGTGTATATATCATCATATAAAATCCTGCTTCGATGTACTAATTTGAAATATACAGATTATAGAAGTACATGTACTCAAGGTTTTTTCAAACTAACTAATAAGAATTAAGCCAAAAACATATGTTGTATTGTGTAGAATTCCGGAGTACTCGGATGTCGGAATTCACAAAATGCACTGTATTTTAAGATTATATAGAATCCCCCCTAAATGTATATATCCTTAAAAATCCTATGTTAATATAGAACAAGACACAACCCAATCATGATGAATATGACATCATACAGAATCGGGTCTGAATTATCATATTATATATTCAGAATTTATGCAGCATATTGTTTAGTTATATTACTAAAAGAGTATGCTAATAGAATCCAGTGTTTATGTATATAGCTCCAAATAGAATCCATCATAAACATCTTATTGAATCCATCTAACAGAATCCATCTTACAGAATCATCTTACAGAATCCTTTTACAGAATCATATTACAGAATCATCTTACAGAATCCATCTTACAGAATCAATCTTACAGAATCATCTTACAGAATCCATCTTACAGAATCCATCATACAGAATCATCTTACAGAATCATCTTACAGAATCCATCATACAGAATCATCATACGGAATCATCTTACAGAATCCATCATACTGTTTCATCTTACAGAATCCATCATACAGAATCCATCTTACAGAATCCATCTTACAGAATCAGCTTACAGAATCACCTGACAGAATCCATCTTACAGAATCAATCTTACAGAATCATCTTACAGAATCATCTTACAGAATCAATCTTACGGAATCCATGTTACGGACTACATCTTATGGACTCCATTTTACAGAATCAATCTTACAAAATCAATCTTACAGAATTATTTTACAGAATCCATCATACAGAATCATCTAACAGAATTCATCATACAGAATCAAACTCACAAAATCAATCTTACATAATAATCTTACAGAATCCACCATACAGCATCTATCTTACAGAATCAATCTTACAGAATAATTTTACAGAATCATCTTACAGAATCAATCTTACAGAATCATCTTACAGAATCCATCTTACAGAATCAATCTTACAGAATCATCTTACAGAATCCATATTACAGAATCATCTTACAGAATCCATATTACAGAATCCATATTACAGAATCCATCATACAGAATCTATCTTACAGAATCAATCTTACTGAATCATCTTACAGAATTATCTTACAGAATCATCTGACAGAATCCATCTTACAGAATCCATCTTACAGAATTCATCTTACAGAATCCATCGTACATAATCTATCTTACAGAATCAATCTTACTGAATCATCTTACTGAATCATCTTACAGAATCTATCTTACAGAATCATCTTACAGAACCCATCATACAGAATCAATCTTACAGAATCATCTTACAGAATCTATCATAATGAATCTATTTTACAGAAAACCATCATACAGAATCATTTTAAAGAATCCATCTTACAGAATCTATCTAACAGAATCTATCTAACAGAATCTATCTTTCAGAATCCATCTAACAGAATCAATCATACAGAATCTATCTAACAGAACCTATCTTACGGAATCTATCTTACAGAATCCATCTAACAGAATCAATCATACAGAATCTATCTAACAGAATCTATCTTACAGAATCCATCTAACAGAATCAATCATACAGAGTCTATCTTACAGAATCTATCTAACAGAATCTATCTTACAGAATCTATCTTACAGAATCCATCTAACAGAATCAATCATACAGAATCTATCTTACAGAATCCATCTAACAGAATCAATCATACAGAATCTATCTAACAGAATCTATCTTACAGAATCCATCTAACAGAATCAATCATACAGAATCTATCTAACAGAATCTATCTTACAGAATCTATCTAACAGAATCCATCTAACAGAATCAATCATACAGAATCTATCTAACAGAATCTATCTTACAGAATCCATCTAACAGAATCAATCATACAGAATCTATCTAACAGAATCTATCTAACAGAATCTATCTAACAGAATATATCTTACAGAATCTATCTTACAGAATCCATCTAACAGAATCAATCATACAGAGTCTATCTTACAGAATCTATCTAACAGAATCTATCTTACAGAATCTATCTTACAGAATCCATCTAACAGAATCAATCATACAGAATCTATCTTACAGAATCCATCTAACAGAATCAATCTTACATAATAATCTAACAGAATCTATCTTACAGAATCCATCTAACAGAATCAATCATACAGAATCTATCTAACAGAATCTATCTTATAGAATCCATCTAACAGAATCAATCATACAGAATCTATCTAACAGAATCTATCTTAAAGAATCTATCTTACAGAATCCATCTAACAGAATCAATCATACAGAGTCTATCTTACAGAATCTATCTAACAGAATCTATCTTACAGAATCGATCTTACAGAATCCATCTAACAGAATCAATCATACAGAATCTAACTTACAGAATCTATCTTACAGAATCTATCTCACAGAATCCATTCTCAATGTATACATCTTACAGGATCCAGACTTTAAGTATGTATACGGCATCATACACAATCCAATCTTTATGTATAGAACACCATATAGAATCCATCATACGGAAACTATTCTTAATATATATACCATTGTACATATTCCAATATATAAGCCTCAATAAATGTACAAACAACATGGTAAATGGTCGATTTATGATCATTTTATTTCAACCGAAAAGGAGGGTAGAAATGAACGTTTTTCAACCTTTTTTTTACATTATGTCAACTCACAGATAATGTTAATATAAAATTTCAGTATAAGAAAAACATATAATCAAGAAAAGAAACAGAATTACATATTCTAAGGTTGCGTAGATTGATTGGACTCGCTGTGTGTCTTTTTTATTTTGTCTGTCTTTTGTAAATTGTCTCGAAGAATGTGTAGTTCAGAATATCTTAATATCAAACTAGGCGCACTGGAAATCTAAAATGTTTCTTTACAGCTGATTAGCTAATCATGATAAAAAGAACGTTTTAAGTACAAATTGACATTGTGAAATAATGATTGCAAATCACTACCATCGCCATCACCAACACTATTTTTTGCTGTTTTTAGGCGAATATCAGTCATGATTCCATATCCCGATTATGAACGTATCACAAGAATTCAATAAAAAAAACAACCTTCCTTTGATATAAATCAACACAGTGACATAAAATAAATTACCTTAGGTGTGTACCTGGATTGGGCAAG